AGGGGGTATTATAACGGGATATAATCCACAAATATTTCGAGTAAGAATAGGAACTTATAAAATTATGTCCCTTTAATCTAATGTGACCGCCTACGAGCCGACGTCGGTTTGATGTGTGAACGCCGCTTTGTCGGCTGACTGTCGGACAACGCTATAAAACGGAGTATCGGCAATGGGTCGGCAACCGCTGAGTCGTTATTTGACGTCGGCCCTACGTCAGTTAAACATCGTAATCCGCTTGTCCGCCTTGCCGACTCAATGCCGCACAGTCAGCCGAGGAAGTCATGCTGTCTGGGATATCGTAGCTGATCTGCTTGAGGTGACCGCCAGTGAAACGGCATTGCTCAAATATATATACTATATATATATATATAGTTTTTACAACTTGCACCCTGCTAAAGTTCCGAGAGTATCCGACTGTTGTTAGATCTTCATCTTACATTGCAGCTAATTTTACGAACGGCTATTTGATTTATATAGGCCATTAGAGCGTAGAACCATCCTTTGCGTGTCAGGCAGCCACGTACACTGAACGTGCCGTTTTCACGGCAGTAGGCCGGGGCCCGTAGTAAGCCTACCGGTTTTCAGTTTTATTAGACGGTGGCTTCGAATCAGTTCTCTGGGAAGAATTCATTTTGACCAGGCGGCGGCTCCAATTTAATAGCCCAGCCTACTCTTTTCGATTTTTATCCTACAAAATTTGCATACGGGACCTCCGAATTTTGTTCGTCCTTCCTTGAAAAATTGGAGACGCAGGCCGTATGACGAGCTCCCGGCGTCAGGGAAAAGACGTTGACTGAAATGCCACGGGCACATAGGCTACGTCACACGATCATCTGGGCCGAACCAAGGTATCTTACAAATAAGGAGCAGCACTACAAGGAGGGAGACGAAGAGGCAGACAAAGGAAAAGATTAGCAGTAAAAATCAAAGAGTAGACTAGGCATGATTAGAACAAGATTCAGCGGAAAAGATGAGAGCCGCTATAAGGAGTGGGAGACGCGGATTTTTTTAATCTAGACAGCCGCGTGGTTCCCAAAACGGTCAGCCAAATTGCGGGACGATTGGTGAAGGTGCAGATCTGAGAACTCTAGGGAATCGAACTTCGGACCTCCTGGATAACAGGCGAACACCAGACCCCCCCCCCTTTTTTTTTCAATTTTACATCTGTGATTTGAACTCAAGCTTTAAGCATTTAAAAAAAAATCTTGGTTGTTAACATGTCATATTATATAACTTTCTTCTCTTTCGTCTGACGGTAGTTCAAACAAGATTTTTTAAAATGATAAGTCGCTCTATTCTTTTCAAGTCTTGCAGCTCTAAAAGTTGGATGACCTACAGAATCTAAAAGTCCAATAATGAAGGTCACTGCAAACTAAGGTTCAGACACATTTTCTTTGATGTTAGCCTAAAGTAACCCCCCCCCCTCAAACCCCCTCCCCCAAAAAAAAACCCACCAAACAAACAAACAAACAATTAAAAAACACAAAAAAACATACAGGGATTTACAGTATAATACCGGGGGCTCTCGTGGCCTAAAGGTTAAGGTGTTGGCCTCTCATTCAAAGGTCCCGGGTTCGAATCCGGGTAGCGACCAAAAAATTGTCTTCTCTAAAATTGTCTCCTTTCACCTCCTTTCCTACTCTCTAGCAATGTTCTGTTGTCTGCTTTATTTCCATTTTCTGCCCCCACCCCCTTTGCCCCCTCCTCTGGGCTCCTGACTCTTTCTGCAGCCTTTCTACTGCTACTCCTTGGCTCCTCCTTACTGCTGTCTTTCTGCCACACCCCTGATCTTCTGGTAGGAAAGATCTACACCTAGCCTTCTTGGACAAGGGCGAAAAATCTCGGAGGGCCCGTGTGCAAGTTGCGCATGTTAAAGATCCCTTGGTGGTCTAAAATCGATAAGAGTAGGCTTCGGCCGCCACCCGGGCAAAATTCAAAATTTCCTACCAACTGAAAATATTAGGTGTGTCCCGCGCGCTCATATGACCTATGCAGTTGCGAGCGCCGTAAAACACTTTACAAAAACAAAAAACAGTATAATACCTAAAACATTAACAAGTAGACATATCGTCGCCTCAGAACTCATTTGGTGGTCCAAAGGGTGCTTAAAGTAAAGAGTAACTTTGGACAAACTAGTTCTGATGAGGCGGCGATATTTTGATAAACGCTACACTTAAAGGTCTCCTAATATGCGCGATACGACGTCGCAGTTGCACACTTCAGTAGAATATAATAATCTGAGTCTCGAGGTGTGTATCCTTTTGGGCGACAATACCAATAAATGGTGGGTTGACCGACACCCCTTGGCTAGGTATGTTGATCCTTTTTTTTTACCTTGAACCAAAATAGATGCAGTTATTTAATTTTATTATTGAATCAAGCTTTAAAAAAAACACATGACGTTTGGTGGCTGGCCTACAGAAGTGCCATGTAAAGATTCGTTGACTTAAAAAAAATAAAAAAATCGGCTAATTTTTTAAACGCGGAAAAACGAAAGTGAACAAGCTACAATATGATCAGAGAGTTTTACAGTTAATACTGTAAACCCTCTCTGATAAGATTTGTAGGTGCACACGTGTGTGTGGGGAGGAAGAGGAAACAGAGGTCAGAGAGAGAGAAATTAAGAGAGAGAGAGAGAGAGAGAGAGAGAGAGAGAGAGAGAGAGAGAGAGAGAGAGAGAGCGAGAGAGCGAGAGAGGGAGAGAGGGAGAGAGCGAGAGAGGGGGGGTGGGGAGAGAGAGGGGGGTGTCAGAGAGATTTAAGGCCTATGCATGTCTCTGCGTATGAAAATGTGCTTGTGTGTATGTGTGTGTGTGTGTGTGTGTGTGTGTGTGTGTGTGTGTGTGTGTGTGTGTGTGTGTGTGTGTGTGTGTTTTTGTGTGCGTTTGAGTGTGTGCATACAGCCAGATGAGATCACTGACTGTTTTGTGGAATTTCCTAAAATATTTGCATAAAAGACTATAATAAATACCGGTCCCCTCTTTTTCTCTTCTCTCTATCATTGCACTCACACCCGTGCGCGCACACATACACACACAAACACAGAGAGGAAGAGAGAGAGAGAGAGAGAGAGAGAGAGAGAGAGAGAGAGAGAGAGAGAAGAGAGAGATAAAGAGAGAGCGTGTGTGAGAGAGAGAGAGAGAGGGAGAGAGAGAGAGAGAGAGAGAGAGAGAGAGAGAGAGAGAGAGAGAGAGAGAGAGAGAGAGAGAGAGAGAGAAACACTTTAGTCCAACACCAATTCGGTGTGTGTGTATGTGAGAGTGTGTGTGCTTTTGTAATGTCACTACTCGGGCTGGTAGCTACAGGTATTGTGTCCAATGCAAATTGAACGTGGAGAGTTGGGCTCGATCTACAAAGGCACTTTGGCAGCACAAGGACCTCGATTCTGATTTACGTCCGGCTGGCTTAATTAATGAGTGCATTAATTTTAATATTTTGATCGATTTGTTACGTATATTAGATGCATGGACTTTTCACGTTTCACAACTACAGCATAAAATATCTTTTCGGAAATTCCAACGAACCGAAGTAAAACACCGCCACTCGCCTTTCCTTTTTCACTGTGAAGTGCAATCAACAAGCATGGCTGCCTCACTGGAACAGATCTTGGCACGACTTTTAGAGCCTGATAATGATGTTATCCAGAAGGTATGGATAAGTTAGGTTTAGTAGCAATGTTTGGATGTTGATTTTTTTGCCTGTAAGATGGGTATGATGTTTTGTTGTCTCGTCGTGACATGACGTTGGCTGACAGATACCGCACTTCACTTGTCTTTTATTTAGGGATAATTTTGGCTCACACTCACATTCTCACATGATGACGAACACAATCACGCTCGTGATCTCCTGTCTTTAAGAACTGGTACCCATAATGGCACATTCTGCTGATGATTCATACAGCCTATGTGGACCCCCCAGCATGACAGTGCTACTGACTACTGACTGGTGTCTTTACTTTGAAAGTGGCTATTCTCACCCGCCTGGAAGTTCTCGCAAGATCAACTCCTCTCCTCTTCTCTCTCTCTCTGTCTCTTTCTGAATACTGTCTATCGGTGTGGACGATCAAATTGACCAAAACAAAGTTAAAAAATGATGTTAAAACACAAAAGTAAATAAATTTGGTTGTCTACAAAGATGCTACGGCTATTAACTTTTCGAATCGAGCCGAACTACTACACGGGTCGCCATTTTGTTTTGCCCGGAAATTCTCGCGCTACTCCTCTCTCTCTTTCTCTCTCTCTCTCCACTGCCCACAGACAAAATTGTACGCTTTTAGTAGGCTACAATTGTAATGGAACGTTTGTTCACGGCACAGAATTCTACAATTTTTCTGTTATCACAGTGTAGAATTCTGTGGTTTAGGGTGAACGCAAAATTTGGTGAATGCGCACCGGGTGAGAATAGCCACAAGACTCGCCTGCACTATTCTCACTCCGGGTGAGAATAGAGGTGGCCCTTTACTTTAGACGGAAGTGGAAGGAGTTCCGCAGAAGAGGGCAGGCGGACCAACAACACCTAACCCTAACCCTAACCCTAACCCAGCACTCTTCGGGAGAAGTGGTCCCGGCCTAATTCCATAGACATTTAGATCTCTAGTCTATATCTATACATTATCTACACAATCGGAAACAAACATGGAAGTCGCGTTAAAAAGAAAGTGGCTATTCTCACCCGCCCGAAAGTTCTCGCAAGATCAACTCCTCCCCTCTTCTCTCTCTCTCTGTCTCTTTCTGAATACTGTCTATCGGTGTGGACGATCAAATTGACCAAAACAAAGTTAAAAAATGATGTTAAAACACAAAAGTAAATTAATTTGGTTGTCTACAAAGATGCTACGGCTATTTAACTTTTCGAATTGAGCCGAACTACGCGGGTTGCCATTTTGTTTTGCCCGGAAATTCTCGCGCTACTCCTCTCTCTCTTTCTCTCTCTCTCTCCACTGCCCACAGACAAAATTGTACGCTTTTAGTAGGCTACAGTTGTAATGGAACGTTTGTTCACGGCACAGAATTCTACAATTTTTCTGTTATCACAGTGTAGAATTCTGTGGTTTAGGGTGAACGCAAAATTTGGTGAACGCGCACCGGGTGGGAATAGCCACAAGACTCGCCTGCACTATTCTCACTCCGGGTGAGAATAGAGGTGGCCCGTTAAAAAAGGGGAGGGGGTGCACGGGGCCTGCCAAAAGGGGGATGCAGGGGGGTTCTCCCCCCTTCCAAACTCACAAAAATAATGGTTTGTAACAGTTGTGAGTGCCATGGTTGTTTTCAGCTCACTAAACTAAAAAGCATTAAAATAGTCCTGAAAAATAGTTTAAAATGGGTTTGGACCTTTTCTGTAAATTTACCAATGGCCTTTTCACCGTGGCAACTCAGCTTTTTTACTCGACTTCCATTTTTGCTTCTGATTTTGTGTATGAAATGTTTATGGAGTAATGGAGTTAGGCCGGGACCACTTCTCCCGAAGAGTGCCTCAAAACCTAACCTTAGAAAGTGGTTATTCTCACCCATTCTCACCTGTCTCGTTGTTCTCACCCCCTCTTTTGTTTTACCGGAAATGACCCACGAGGATCAGGGTTGAGGTTACCAGGGCTGATACTCCATAGGATTGTGTTGGTGTCCGAATAGACATAGATCTAGATCTAGTCACAGCTAGGGTTGTCAAATTGGAGCCAAATCCCAGAAATTTGGCTCTTTTGGATCGTGTCTGGCCCAGAGAATTTCATTTGGCTCTCTGGCTCTTTTTTGGCTCCCAACTCTAAATGTTCAAGAAGAAGGGGACAGAAGAGACAAGAAAGAAAAAAGAAAAAGAAAGAATAAAAGAAAAAAAATGAAAGTGAAGAAAGGAGCTTGGAGTGTTTAATAAAATTATTAAACTAGTTAACACGATTTGACGCCATCGCCCATTTGGTCTGAATAATTTACAACCCTTCAACCATCATGCAAGAGCATAAATTTTAATAGTCTCGTGCTTGTGTCTTGTATAAATGTTCATACACGCTCTCTATTCCTTGAACCCTAATTATTTATTGTGTGCAGGCAGAGAGGCCTGCCATCGCAAATGTGTAAACAACGAATGGTCCGGCCGGTCCCACATCCTGCTCAGTAGCGTCGGTAGCGAGCCTTTTTTTTTTACTGGAGAGCCGAAAAATGTTTTTGCATTATTATTATTCGTTCCCAACCACATGCGGTAAACCACCAAGGGCCTAGGTGATTTTATCGGCCTGCGAGAGGTCAGGGGGGAGTCCTCGCCTCATTTCCACATCAGGGTGAGAGCTATTTTC